TCTAATCTGTTCATAATTTGGTTAGAAGAGACTTGGACTTTGTGCAGTTCTCCAGTGCACATTCCATGGATGGCATTGTCTTAATATCAAACACAGAAGAACAGGTTAGAGCAGATCTGAGACCAGTGGTGGCCCACATGACCAGTAGAGGCTGGTTAATACACCCAGGAAAAACCCAAGCCCCTACATAAACAGTGATGTTCTTGGGGATACCTTGGGCTGGAGCTACTCATAACACTCCTCAGGCAATCAAGAACACATTACTGGCACTACCTATCCCCAATACTAAGCAGGAGGCCCAACACTTGTTAGCGCCCATGCATAAAACCACTCAGAAGAAAACTGTTTGAATGGAAGCCTGAGCAACAGCAGGCTAGGTCTGAGTTACAGAAAGCAGTCTCTCTGTGACTTTAGGGCCTTATGATCCACATTCACAGACGATTTTGGAGGTGTCTGTCACACATGCTTATGCAGACAGGAACTTGTGACAAAAACCTGAGAATGTTGCCCTATGACAAAAATTGGAATTCTGGACTAGGAAATTTCCAGAAGCTGCCTCACAATATACACCACTTAAAAGTCAAGTACTTTTCTGCTACTGGGCATCGATCGAGACTTCCTCAATGACAGGAGGACATAAAAATCCTCATGAAACCGGAGACACAGAATCTCTTGGGTGATGTCAGAGAAACACGCAAATAAGGAAGGTAGAAACGGGAACAGAACAGGTAGCTGCCTTTCCCATAAGTCCTACCCTGGGAGCCCCTGAGAAGCTGCTAGAGCTTCCTACCACACGGACAGTGCCCTTTGAACAACTTTCCGCTGACCAGCAGAAGGTTGCTTGGTTCAAAGAAGGCAGTTCCCGGTTCTGTGGACAACATCTCATGTGGAAAGCTTCTGCATATCAAAATACTGTAACTGAAGAAGGCAAGAACAGGTCAACCCAATGGGCTGAGCTGCACACACGCTATTTTTCTAGCCGTGATGCAAGAATTGAACAATGGTAAGAGCCCATATGTTCAGATTTTTACTGACTCATGGGCCGTGGCCAATGGCCTGACTATATGATCTGGCCAATGGCAATGGAAAGCGGGACTGTTAAAGGAGCACTTTTGTGAGGCAGGGACCTATGGGAACTGCAATGGCCATTTAAATGGTGCATCAGAGTAGGACATGTCAATGCCTTTCTGACTCAGAAGGTAATTAGGGCCAACAAGTGGTTTAAGGTGTGAAAATAATAATTTACAATTTATCAAGGGTTCATGAGGGTGGGAGAGTAGGGGAGGGAGGGGGGAAAACGAGGAGCTGATACCAAGGGCTGAAGCAGAAAGAAAATGTTTTGGAAAGGATGATGACAACATATGTACAGATGTGCTTGACACAATGGATGTATGGATAGCTATAAGAGTTGTAAGAGGCCCCAATAAAAAGATTGAAAAAAAAAAAAGAACCAGCAAGTGGACATATAGGTATACTCTTGAGGTAGCCAATTGGGTCCATAAGACAAGCGGACATGGGGGTGCTGCAGCAATGCAGAGATGGGCTAAGTCTAGACACATCCTTCTTACACCTTCTGAGGCACAAAATGCCAATAAGGACTGCCCTGTCTGCCATCAAGAAAGACAGAGGTTGCAGTTGGCTATGGAACAGATTCCCCAGGGGGAAGGCTCTGCACACAGCTGGAAAAACAATTATATCAGACCAAATCACCAGTAGCAAAAGGAAAAAAGCAAACAAATCCAAACTCATGGCCATCAAGTTAATTCTGACTCATGGCACTAGCACCTGCACCACTGGTCCTAGGATTGCACCATCCAGCAGGGGGTGGAGGGGTCAAGTGATGTGGGGAAGGGCTGTACTCACTTTAACGCTAGTGGCATAGTGGTTACATGGTACACTGCTAACTGCAAGGTCAGCAATTTGAAGCCACCAGTGGTGCTCCGCAGGAGGATGGGGCTTTCTACTCCCGTGAAGAGTTATAGTCTTCGAAGCCCACAGGGGCAGTTCCACCCTATCCTATAGGGTCACCATGAGTCATGGGCACCAGGCGACTACAGATGAATCATCACAGGAATAGATACTTACTCTGGACTGGCTCTTACGTATTCAAAGACACATACAGATGCTCAAAATAAAACAAAACCACCATCAAAGGATTAGAACAAAAGATACTGTACCGATTTGGGCCACCAAGTTCTATCTCCTCAGGCCAACGAGCACACTTTACAGCTCCAAGGGTAAAGGGGGCAGCACTGGGCCAAGAAGCATCCTATTAGATGGATATACCATGTTGCATACCACCCTTAATGAATTGATAGAGAAATGGAATAATGGTCTTTTGAAACATTTGTTATCCAAAGGCAGGGAGATAAAGGCCTGAGGGGCTGGCTTTCACAACTTCCTGAGTGTGTGCTCACACTCAACATGAAGGGGACAAAGGGAGCATAGCTGCTGGATCGGTTCCTACATTTCTCAAGCGGATTGGGAGAAGAAAGGGTGGGGGCAGATGCTGGTGCCACTGTACGGTTCTGCCCCACATCACCTGAAATGACCCCCCACCGCCTGCTGGATGGTGCCAGAGGCAGGGGTGATCACTGAACCTGTATGCAAGAATTCCCAAGGGCCTGATAGGATGGATTGTACCTTCGCTTCGCTGAACAAAACTGGAGTTCACTGTGAATCATGTCATATTACCTAGTGGTCAAGAGTGTCCACTAGTCTTGTACCTATGGAGCCCCACTGAATAAGAGTGGGAAGGGACTGAGGGAGAAGCACTTGTTAGACTTGCTGGTCTTGCCAACAGCAATCTGAACTGGCACACCAGCTGAACCTGATGTCCTTTCCCAAGATGGAAACGTTTGGGGAAAATCAATGACAAATAGAAGGAGAAATGACAGTTGAAAGTAAAGGAATGGGTTATGCAGTGCGGAAAACCTCACATTGTGCTCATTCCTCAAGAAAGACTCAGAACAAGGGAATACTCTTTCTCAGTTGAAGTAGGAATGGGTTAATGGGTAGAAGAGCCAGGGGCTGGCCTCAATTCCTATGGCCCTTGTAGTCGTAATTCATTAGGTGATGCTTTATCATTTTGGAGTCTGTGACTATGGCTAAAATCTCATTTTGGAGAGCATATGGATTCTGCTATACTACCCGACAGGATTAGGGTCGCATTAAGACCTGACCTTAGTAGAGGGCATGAACCAAGGGACATCCTTTGTTTCCATGGGATCCTCTTTAAGATTACTAAAAGGTGTAATTTTCCTTTGGTAGCATATAAATGCTGGTGGCCTTGTACATTTCTGCCACACATCCCCTAATAAAGCCACACCTCTATTTCCTGAGTTTTGGTGGAAGCAAGACCTGAAAGGACTTTTAGATAATTTTGGCTTCTGGCTCTAAACCTGGCACTTGGCTTTTCTATGCCTGACCCTTAGATTTGGGATTGAACAGCACCCACCAACACGTGCAGTGTTTCTTTCCAGTTTTGTGAGCTTTTGTGGGACATTACAGTGAATCACAAAACCCAGAGACCTGAGTAATATATTCAAGGGAGGAGTGGGGAGGGGGAGGGGGAGGAAATGGAGAATAGTGCCATGGAAGAGTTGGACAGTTGGGACATCTTTAATCTCCAATGTCTTGTGACTGACGTGGTATGGACACATCCTTTGATTGCATATAAGGCTCCTGATTTTATAAAGCATGATAGTTAGTAGCCTTGTCAGAGAGTAAAACACACACTAAGAAACCCATGTCCATTGAGATATGGTTTCTCTGGGTTACTGAAGTGAAGAGTTTAATTCAAACCACAATCCATTGTCTGGCTCAGCGATTAATCTCGGGACACAGCCCCCTAGGGAAACCAAATGTTTTGAGTCCTATAAAGAGAAATATAAAATATACTTTAAAAATGAACTAAAAATGTTAATATCTACTCTGATCAGAACTAAGAAATGCAGTGAGACCCTGAGTCAGTACCCAGATGGGGATGTGTAATTCTGAATTTGGGAGAGCAGCTTTACCCACACTCCATTCTAGAGGTCAAATTGAAGCTTAGGCAATTTGGGGATTATGAAGAATCATAGGGGCTTTGTTATCATAAGGAGTCCCTATCAGTAGCTGTCGGCAGAGGGTACAATGCATCGCAGTGCCCAGAAGATAAGGTAGTACTCAAAGAAGAGTACCACTGTCTTCTCAGATACCTGGACTTGTCCCTAGGCACCTCCAACTCTTCTCAGAGTGTCTTACAGGGTCCAAAATCCTCCTACTTACTGCAAGGGAGCCAGCCCAACACAGTTCGCATACTCAATACCTCACCGGATCCACTCAAGTCCTGTGAGTCAAAGATTACCCACATTTCATAGATGACAAAATGGACTCTTAGAACCATGGCTCTAACTGCCAGGTGAGTTCCCCCAGCTCCAGGCCTCAGAGGTGATATGAGTTGTACCTTTCATCTAAGTTGTGACAAGATGTTTAAGTGTTTTCCTTATCTTCATAAGCTTACTAGATAGATCACTTGCTTATCATGTAGTACTTCCTGTTTTCAGCTTTTATTCATTTTGTGATAGACACAAGCCATAACCTTTAGGGAAACAATGGAGATGAGGGAACCCAGAATGCCTTGGTGGGAGCCATGGAGCAGTAGAGGAGCCAGTACTCACCTGATGTGGTTCGACCCAGGTGATAGGGCACACCAGCAGGGGGCTGACACCCAGGGTATGTGTGTAAAACTCTCAGGTGATTGGATGCATTTTTGAGTGCAGGCGAGAACTGTTTTTGTCAGCTTACAAGAATAATCCTTGCCTCCTTTCTACTCCCGTGAAGTGACAGTCTTGGGAACTCCCAGGGGCAGGTTTACCCTGTCCTATAGGGTCACTGAGTCAGCATCGACTCCTTGGCAGTTAGTGAGGCTTCCTAGTGTACACACTTTCAGAGTTTCCCTGGTGCTCGGATGTATCCCGCACACAGAAAAGTTTACAAAAATGGGCTGATACTGTATATGCAGGTTTACAAACAGTTTATTCACATTTTACAAGGTACCGTGAACATCTCCCCCATGCACATGGGTGAAAGCCCTACTGACACACAGAGCGCTGCAGTGGGGTCCAAGGCTGCTGGTAACAAGAGTGACACCTGAAGCAAGGTAAGTATCAGCACAGGTTAGAGCACAGAGCCTGGCAGAAGCCTGCCAGGGAAAGCAGGGCTGGCACGATTCCCATCTGAGAATCAGAATGGAAAGGCAACGGGATTAAAGGTAGGGGACATCCTGTAAGCCTTTTTGGCCCCTACCTCCGCCCCTGACTCCTCTGACCCCCCGCTGGCCCCTAGGGGGGAAAGGATCCTGGACCTCTCTTTGCAACCAATGAAAGCCACCCGCTTTCTGCTTTTTCCTTAGCTCTTCCTGAGCCCTTGACGCGTCACCACATTCTCTCATCATCATCTCCTCGCTGCTCAAGTGCCTTTCGTGTAAGTCCTCCTGAGAGTCCCTGGGGGAATCATCGGTGCCCCTGTCCGTTTTCCTTTTGGCTTTCCTGGGCACGTGATCTTCAGCGGGGCGCTTTTCGGAGGCCCGGGCCTCGCTCTCGGGCTTCCGCTGGGCCTCCCCTTGAGGAGTGCCCTCATCTCCTGGCTTTCCCTGCTGAGTCTCCTGCTCTCCCTCTGGCTGCCCCTCAGCCCCCGCCTCTCCCTCACCACCTGGCTTCCCCTGGCATTCTGCCTTCCTCTCCACCTCCGGCTGGGCCGCCTCTTCGGACTTCCCTTCCTCTTCCGGCTCTACTTCACGCTTGGGTTTTCCCTGGGCTTCCAGGTTGCCTTCATTTTCACTGTAGACTTTTTCCATGGTGAGATTCTACTCCTTTTCCTGTCCTGGTGGGTGGGGGAAGACAAAGGTAACTGAGGGCTTCGGAGTGGGTCCAGGTCCCAACAGCCCATGCACCTCGTCCCTAATCAGGATCGCTGTAACCCGGCCTGGCCTCTATGCCCACCCACCCATTCCTTCCCCACATGCGTCAACTGGTTCCCAGGGAGGCCCTGTCAGCGGTTCTTCTTCCCGAGTAGGAGAGTGTGTATGTGTTGGAAAATTGTGTGATCCCCAAATTCTGTTCAGCCCATGCCCTCCACACTACCCCCAGGCCGGGGCCAGGTCCAATGCTTCCCCCTTCCTTCCCCCTACCACCTCCCAGACCTGCAGGGTTTCTGGATAGCCTTCTCCTCCTCCTCTAGCCTCGCAGAGAGCTGGGAGCCACAGAGGACAGACACACAGACCTGCAGACAAGACAGGAGGCATGCAGGATGCTCAGTGGATACAGAGTGACACGGGTCTTTCCCTGAATCCTGGCCACCTCACCCAAGGATTCCCTCCCCCACCTGCCAGTCTTCCACCACCACCACCACCCCCCACAGCCGCCATTTCTTTTCAGGCCTCAGGCGCCAGATGAGGATGTTTTCCAGATTGGGGGCTATGGAAGCCTCCTCCTCCCGGAGGCAACCTGCCCTATCCCATCCCCCTTTCCCCACTGGTCTGTCTTCCCACCGAGGCGCAGAAAGTGGGGTGAGGGGTAGTTCCAGAACGTGTTTACATTTCAATGTCGCACTGCGGGGGTGCTCTCTCCCCCACCAGCTGACTCTAAATGGCATGGAGGGCACAGAAGAGGGTGGTCGCGAAGGCAGGCAGGCTGGGCACAGTGGCGTCTTTCTCCTCACCTGGTCAAGGCTGCTCCTAATCTCTTCCAGGTACACCCTATCCTGTCCCCCGCTGTGAATTCCCACCACTTCCCCCCTCTTACCCCCAGCCCTGGTCTGCAGTTCCCGGAGCCCGCTCTCACCCTCTACGCCCGCCCGGGTCTTTCAGCAGTGCCACACATACACCACACACCACACCACACCAACCTGTGGGAAGGAGCAGCTCTGCACCTCCCGGGCTTCCTGCAGCCTGCCCTTCGTCCCTTGCCCGAAGCCTGGGCAGAGCAGCGAACTGGTGCTGCCAGCGCTGGACCTGAGCACTGTGAGGGCGGGAGCGCGGGTGCGGGGTCTGGTGCCCACGTCCACGCCCGGCTTGTCACGTGGGCACCTCGCGTCACCCGCGGCTGCCCCCCGCCCCTGCCCTGTCCACCTCACCCCCATCCCCATTCTCGAATTGATCTATTAGGGTGGGGGAGGAGTGCATCGAGCAAGAAAAAAGGAAGAGGAGGAGGAGCTTCCTGACCCCAGGTGCCTACCTGGCGCATCTCAAGTCTCAGCACAGCAGACCTGTTTAGGGCCCCTCATCTCCAGGGGTGACAGCTGAGCACAAGGAAGGGACCTGGCTTAGGCTACCATACTCAGCTCCGGAACCCCACAACCCGATTTCCAGGCCAACTCAGCCTGATTCCCGCCCTGCAGTGGCGGTACCTGCCCGGAAGCTGTGCCCCGTCCTTGGTCCTAGGGGACACTGGCCCTAGTGGCCTCTCCTGTCAGTCCACGTGTCCTCACTCCTGATCTCAGCCACTTCCCTGTAAGTACGGAAGACTCTCAAATAGACATCCCCCACACTATTCTCCTCCCTTGGGCCCATTTTCTTTGCATTTTCACCAGTAATCTGGACAAATGATGACCACTCACCCCCACCCCAATTCTTTCCAACATACTGCGTGGCATACTTTTCATTCGTGATAAGATGAGAATTAGTATCTCAATGGCATTTTATCTTGCATTTCTTTATGCTTCAGGATGATTTTAATATATTTTTAAAAGATCTGTTCATGTCCTTGTCACATTGTTCCTTTGTGGGTGGGTTGTTTGTCCTGTCTCCTGAGTTTTTCAAGTGCTCCTTATATATGACAGGGCTCCCAAAAGTTTGAAGAAAAATTCTATTATCTTTCAGTTCTGTTTTTTCCACAAAGTTTATGTATTTTGCAAATATTTTCTAGTTTGCCAGTTGTCTTGATTTTGTTTACTGTGTGGAATCTCCCCTCCCCCCACCCATAAAAACATTATGGGGTAAGATTTATCAAACTTTTCTTTCTTGCCTCTAGATTCTGATGTTTCTCCTACACTAAAGGCTAAAGAGGAACTCATTCATATTTTCTTCTAGTACTATATGGTCAAGCTACTGCTAGTTGTTTCAAGGCCATTTAGTAAAATACTCATTTTTGTCATGGTGATTTGAGATGTCACTGTAGCTATGCATGGAAATTGCAAGGTCAGCAGTTCAAAATTGTCATTGTTCCATGAGAGGAAGACAAGGTTTTCTATCCCCATAAGGATTTACAGTGTTGTAAACCTATAGGGACAGTTTTACTCTGTCCTATAGGGTCATTATGAGTCAAAATCAACTCAATGACAGTTAACTGAGTTTTGAAATTTCCAGATACACTTAGGAACAATTCTGGGCTTTCTTTTTTTAAAAATCATTTTATTGGGGGCTTGTAAAACTTCTATCACAATCTATACATCCATCAATTGTGTCAAACACATCTGTACATCTGCTGCCCTCACCATTCTCAAAATATTTGCCTTCCACCCGAGCCCCCGTATCAGCTCCTCAATTTCTTCCCTCCCTCCCCACTACGCCCTCCCTCATGAACCCTTATAAATTACTATTATTTTGTCATATCTTACACTGTCTGACGTCTCTCTTCACCCACTTTTCTGTTGGACTTTGTATTATAGCACATTTTCTTCTGTTTGTTATTTTCATACCAGTATTAATTTATTTATAATGTCTTAAAATCTGGTACAAGTCCTCCCAAGTTGTTCTTTCTTAGTATTTTCCTGTATGTTATTACATATGAACTTTAACCAAGATTGAACATATGCACACTCCTGAATGACTTCAAGTGTGCTGTATTTCATGGTCTTGTTTTCTTCCATGCCCACACACTACTCTCCCTGTTTTAATTGTCTCCTATGTATATGACAGTTGGACAAGAAATATGGAAGACCGAAGAAGAATAATGCTTTTGAATTATAGTGCTGCTAAAGAAATATTGAATATACTATGGACTGCCATAGTATAAACACACCTGTATAAATATAGAATAAACACACCTGTCTTGGGAGAAGTACATCCAGAATGTTCCCTTTGAAGGGAGGATAATAAGATTTCATCTCAAGTACTTTGGACATATTTTATTGTTGTTGTTGTTGTTGTTTTAGTAATTCCTCATTCTTATATTACTTTTGGAGGTTTTTATAATAATCTTAGTTCTTTTAAATGGGAAGCTTGCTCTGGATCACCTGGTACACCTTTATCAAGAGCAGGATATATATATA